TGATTGATTGATTGATTGATTGATATGTGGGGTTTAACGTCCCAAAACCACCATATGATTATGAGAGACGCCGTTGTGGAGGGCTCCGGAAATTTCGACCACCTGGGGTTCTTTAACGTGCACCCAAATCTGAGCACACGGGCCTACAACATTTCCGCCTCCATCGGAAATGCAGCCGCCGCAGCCGGGACTGCAATCCCGACTGCAGTCCAAGTGCCCTCGACCATTCATAGGCACGTCCCCCTACGCCCCCCACTTCTCGGCGAAGGGAATTTTTTTGGGGTGGGGACACCTTCTTGATTTCGTGGGGAACCTCCTTGAAATAGCCATTTTTAGTTCTGGATGCCATGGCGAAAAAAGTTTGGGGGAGGGGGGCAGCACGGCCCCGGTGTGCCACCCCCTGGATACACCACTACCTTCAGGGGAGGGGGGGAGGTAACGATTTGTCGCAGCGCCCCCTCCCTATTATGTCAGTGTGGGACATACCTTGCGCCTCCCCCCCCCCTTATGTGACTACAGGGGGGGGGGGGGGGCAACGCCGTCATGACGTCGCCAGTAAACCAAGTAATTAAAGCGCCGTAATTGGTGTGACGTGGCCATCATAGCAGTTATAGAGAACATATAAGTACAAACTGCGTAAAAAGTTCACGTGACGCAATATCTATGAAGATAAATATAGAGCATACAACAAAGCAAGCCGATTTTAACAAAATATATGATGTATGTTCTGCCACGCGCTCCGCAGGCTGCATATCCGTATTTGAGGCTATGAATTTCGAGTATAAGTGAATCAAATTTTGTTGTTTTCAAACGAAGAGTCACGTTAATATTATTCGTGGATGGCTTACACTATCTCTACACATGACTGATTAAAGGCCATCACTAACGAACAAGTGAAGAACGAATAAGAACACACGAAAGTATAACATACCATTATGTAGACCATGTATAGGAGGTCTCAAACAGGTGCCCTGCGGGCCACATGTGACCCTCGTCGTGAAGCCGGGAATTTTTTGTTTTGAATTTCAAGTTTGGGAAGCCGTTAGCTCCTAGTATTTCGATTTAGGTGAAGTGCCACATGCCCGTGTGCTGATCGATGTCACCTTCAATCTGGGTGGTCTATAGCTTCTCTGTAGTGCACACCAGTACATCGTCTCTCACAGCAGTCTAGCTGGGACGTTGAACCCCGTAGACCATAAACCAACCATCTTCTTTCGTTCAGCAGCCTTTCATGCGGTGGAGTGTACGGACGATGAGTGTCCTGCTTCATGGCAGTCGCACGAACAAGTAATATAGCTACAAGTACCAGTTGTTTCGTGACCGGCTCTTTTGATCACTCTTCAAGGCCTCAAAACAGCGTGCTCTGCTTGCAGAAAATATCCAAATAATAATTTAGAATTCAGGGACATCTGGTGAAAACATTACAAAGCCATTTTGAAATAGCGCTAGTATTGAAGTGATTGCTTACTTCCTTCAGTATCGAAAATACCTAGTTTTCTTTTTGTAGTGCTTAGAATGAATAAATAGTGGCTGAACAATTACCCTCTTTCATAAACCGCCCTCTTTCGTTAACCAGAATTGTTCACTTAGTGCTTGAAAACAAAGGCACAAATACAGCCAATATTGGTGTCAATACCAACTTGACTCGTTCTCTCACTTTCGTGAAATCTGAATTCGCGTCTCTCCTTTCAAAAAGCTTTATAAGTGGTTTTTGAAAGGGGAAAAGGAAGTAATAAGTGCAGTTCCGTTACTGCCTCTTTCTCAATAGAGGCACCTCCACAGTTCTGCGCAGGGTATGGGGTAAGGAGGGATTGAAAAGGATAGAGAAGAATTAAAAGTATAGAGATCGAGAAAGGGGCAGGGACAGCCACATACGGAAGTAGGGAGAAGATGGGAAAAATGGACATGGTCGCAGAAGTTCGAGGACTGTGCACCACTCGGCTAGAGCTTTTGTCGGCATCAGGAGATGGCGTAGGGCGAGCCAGTCGGCCAGAGATGCGCTGTCGTCGGAGATTGCGGGGGCACAACTGGTCGGCACGGAATCCAGCGAGCAAGATTCCAAAAGCTTTACCTGCCTTTTAATCCCTCAAGAAGTGCTTCTAAGACATATTACTTATTTGTCACTCCTTACTAAAAAGGGCGACAGCAGCGAATGCGCTGCTTGAACATACCACTTAACAAGGTTGTTCCACTGATCGTCATCAGCACCAAAATGATGCATCAACCTTTCATAAAACACAAGATAAAGAATTATTATTATTAATTCATTTGCGTACACGGAAAGACATGGACACAGAAAAAAAGACGGAGAGAGCAGGCTAGCAACTGCCACCTGGAGGGGCACAACGCGTGCTCACTCTTTCGGGAGGAGGGAAAAACAGAGGAAAGGACGATAAGAGGGGAGAAAGAGGAAAGAAGAGAGCGAAGTGAAAAATTGACAGATCCCACGTACAGTGGGAATCGATGATATGCGAAGCATGAATGAGAAATGTTCATATGCCACTTTAAAACCAGCACAACGTTACGAGTTGGAAGTAAATGATGCCGTACTTGACTTCCGTATCATGATTTTCATGTTCAGACGTGTCGTAATTACCTTCGTCATCTATCCACGCCACGTGACACTGAATTGCGTATATGTGGAGCTAGCGAAACGGCCGCTAGCACGCTATGAGCGTGGTATGTTGTCATGTTCTTACATGACACGCGTGTCATGATTATCATGTTTGCACTAGTCATATATTTCGTCATCCATTCACGTCACGAAACACCGAATTTGGTATATGTGGAGCTAGCAAAACGGCCACGAGCGCACCATGAAGGGCCCTATATTCTCCTATGTAGCGTTGACGCTCGTGCACGCTAAGCACAGCGACGCTACGTTAGCAAAACGGGAGAACATTATAGTCTGACGCCAGGCGCGACCAGCGTCCGCGCCGCTCCGACGGACGCTGGTCGCGCCTGGCACGAAATGCGACATCCTGCATTTCGCGCCGATCCCATAGAGTAACATTACTCCATGTCAGTTCGTTACCCAGACAACACGACGTCTCCCTCTTTTCGTGACGGAGGGACGCCAGACACGCTGAAACGCGCATGCGTCAAAGCAACGCAACGCGGCGGTCATCTGAGAGTATATGGCATGACCGGCGCCTGGCATGGCAACGCCTGCGTGACGCGACGAAATGAACGCCGGCGAGCACGCGCACCGCGTCACGTCGAATTGTATTAGCGCCTTGACTGTGGCATGTATCATTTTTTCACATGACACGCATGTCATGCTCATCATGTTTGCACCATTCACATACCTTCGTCATACATTGACCTAATGTAATACCAAATTCAGAATATTTCAAGCTAGCGAAACGGCCACGAGTGCATCATCAGTGTGGCATGTAGTCAAGTCGTTACATGACACCCATGTCGTGATAATCATGTTTGGATGTGTCATTTACCTATGTCATCCGTTCGCGTCACGTAATACCGAGTTTGGTACATGTGAAGCTAGCGAAACGGCCGCGAGCGCATCATGAGCGTAGCATGTAGTCATGTTGTTACATGACGCGCATCTCATGTTTATCATGTTTGCATCAGTATCATACCTTCGTAATCCTTTCACGTCCCGCAGTACCATGTTTCGTATAAGTGAAGCTAGCAAAACGGCCGCTAGCGCATCATGAGCTTGGCATGTAGTCATGTTACATGACACGCATCTCACGATTCGTCATCCATTTACGTCATACATCCATTCACGTCATACATTCGTCATCCATTCACGTACCGTAGTACCAAATTTGGTATATGTGACGCTACCGAAACGGCCGCGAGGGCATCATGAGCGTGGCATGTAGTCCTGTTGTTACACGACACGCATGTCATGATCTTCATGTAAGGGTTTGTCGCTTGTGTTCGCCATTCAATCCTGTCATACCATACCAGGTTTGCAACATGCCAAGTGAACGAAACCACCGCAAGAGCTGCAGGAGCACGAAATGTAAATCACAACATTTATGACATCCATGTCATAATTTTTCATGTTATGACTAGTCAAACACGTTCGTCATACAGTCATGTTGTGTCATACCAAGTTTGGTATCGATATAATTATCGAAACGGCCAGGAGAGCTAAAAGTCGTAGGCGACTAGATAGATAGATAGATAGATAGATAGATAGATAGATAGATAGATAGATAGATAGATAGATAGATAGATAGATAGATAGATAGATAGATAGATAGATAGATAGATAGATAGATAGATAGATAGATAGATAGATAGATAGATAGATAGATAGATAGATAGATAGATAGATAGATAGATAGATAGATAGATAGATAGATAGATAGATAGATAGATAGATAGATAGATACGCTCAAAGTCGCAAAAGTTCGCTAAAAAAATGCTTCGCGTTAAAAAAATACGAATAATTAGAAGAAAGAGAAGCGATAGAAAGAAACTAAGTCGTGTGTGTTGCCTTTCAGTTTAATAAAAGATAAAAATGTTAAGGCAAAGGTTGACGCAAAGGAACACGTTCTTGCTCCCGCTTCGCTCACGGGATCAAACAATCTTTCAAGACATCACGCGAAGAAAGGATACGTAACATTTAAGGAGTGTGATATTCAGTACAACGACCAAATGAATTTCGTGGGCCCGACATATAAATTGTGAAGGCAAAAAGCGGCGGAGATTGCAGCCTCCAAATAACCCGCGGCGCTGCCCAAAATGTCCAGCCTGTGGTAACCCCAATCAAAGGTACTTCGCGTCATATAAAAGCGCACTTCGCAACGGCAAGATGTGCGGCGCGTATAGGGGCCGTCGGAGAAAGAGTGGGTATAGGCCGTGGGTGAAGGGGAACCGGAAAAGCCGCTTTGTTTGTCGGCCCGGTGGCGAGGTCCGAGAAAGAAAAAACAAGACCTCGAGAACGAAAACGAAAGTGAGTTGGGGTCGCCCGCCGCCTTTCCCATGGTATACTCTCTAACTTGGCCGGAAACACTCGGAAATGAGTCCGCGGAGTCCGGCACGGCGAGACGGAAGTTTACCTTCCGGAGAACGAAGAACCTCGCCGTGACTTCGCGACGTCGCCGAGACCCGAGTTTGCGGTAACAGTGTACAGATGCGCGGATTAGCCGGAAGCCCAAGGCCATTGCTACAGAGCAAACACTCGTAAGCACTGTTACAACGCGCTCGATCTCGCGTCGTACGAACAGGAAGAAAAAAGAAAAGGTGTTGGAGTCATCGTAGCCCGCTTCCGAAACCGGAAGTCGTTACGACTGCTCCAGAGCGAGGCGATAAACAAGACGGCGGCTGGGCCCTTTGTGGTTCGTCTGCCTCGATGGAGCTAGTCGGTCGCTTCAAGCGGGAAGCCAACAGAAAAGCGTCCTTCAAAGGTGAGTGTCAATTTTACTTCAGGGAAAGGTCGAGAATATTGAACTCCATGGGTAAAGCTCGTCTTTGAAAGTTCTGCACAAGTGCTATATTCCGGAAGGGTCAGTTTATGCGTAAATGTGCACAGTGTGTGTGGGAAGAAGCGTACGTGTCCTGCGCAGATTGGCCAATTATAAACTGAGAGGCGCTAAAATATGGCCCACAAGGAAAATAAGGACACAAACGACGCTCAGGGAAACTCGAAGAGTACATTGGTGCCACTCTGTTCTAACTGATGAATATAGGGCGGAACATGAAAATTCGCGTTAGTATAAGTCAGACGAGGGGAGGATACCTGAAAACACAGTTCTTAAAAAACACTCATAAAAATCTCCTCAGGAGCTCAAAACTGCAGGCTTGAACACTAGTGCCCCTTCGAATCTACGAGTGTTCGTAAGGGGTACGGCAACCTGCCGATGCAATCGAATGCCTCAAGGGATGCTCGTAGAAGATCACAATCTGCGAAAGAAGTGGGCATTAATACCGTTAGAATTTTTCGACAAGCTTCCGTGAGCTCTATCTTGATCCTGTTTTATTTTTATTTTATTTCTTGTGGAGCATCTACTGCGAACTCTGTCAAGTAGAGCAACACTGCTGCTCGCGATCTACCGATAAGGGCAGTTCGGCATTCAAAAAGGTGTCAGGAGTACACTCGATGCGGTTGCCGCACCCGCATGGTTCTATTTAGCTGCGTAAACCCCGTTTCAACGTATAGTTATCTCTGCATCTTGCCGACGTTCATGAGGTGCTGGCAGCAATGCCCGTTCCCGTGGCAGATATCAGAAATCTTCTCTTTCTTAGGTGCGCTTCTACATTTGCTGGATTTATTAGCCGATGAATTGCTCATTGACAGGATTGAGCGAGATTTCCTCAAGAAATTTTTCTTATAGGCTAAGTTTCTGTGAATACGGGCTAAGAGCGTGATTACTAAAGCGAAACATGAGCTGAATTCAGAAATCTCTTCTTCTGTAAGGCCTGTTTGCAAACAATTTCTGCGGAATCTAACAAGGTGGCAGAAAGGTGACGAAAGGGAAATTGACAGGTCTGTTTGTTGTCACAATCGTGCTCCCTCTTCGTCATCGCTATTGCGATCACGTGTGTTTTAACGTGTTCATTTAGGGCACTTTGGATATGTGCATAGATATGCTATGCCGAATTATTGAGGCTCTGACGTGGAGGGCAAAAAGCGTACGTCCCATCCCATTTCTTTTGATATTTGCTGTCGCCAAATGCTGATACTACAGCACACCAGCGTAAGGTTATTGAAAAACGCTACATTGGCAAACATAAGCGCAGTACGAAGGATGATGAGCTATTTCAGGCACTGTGGTGAGAAACAAAGCAAACAAGTGAAGATCGTGGTCATAGGCTCACTTTTTACTTTATGCCTTTTAGCTGTTGCTAACTCCCCTTTTTCGAAGCAGTGCAAGGAAACAAGACGTTATGCCTCACTTCTATATCCCCCCTCCCCCCATTTTGCTGTAATTTCTCAATTGGTAATTCTAAGATATCATGAATAGGACACGTGTACGTCATTCGAAACAAGGCAGCATGCAGCATAGTTGTTCTGTTGAATAAAGATTCCTCATAGATATGCGTGACTGCGCGTAAAGGAAGTTAGAAAAAATAATTTACTTGCTGAACTTGCTTCACTTCGACAGCTTGCTGGCATATGTGGCGCATGGTCAGGGATCGTAATGAAGATAATTACAGGAACAGCACCCATGGATCCAGTGCGGTGTGCGGTAGCGAGTCTGACCCGGCTCTGGCAGCCAGTGCAGTGCTGTTGTGGGCCAAAAAGCGTATTCGTCGAACAGCTGTCGACTGCTGATATACAAGTTCTGAGTTCCCAATATGCGCCGTTCACCAAAGTGCTCGGGGGTAGTTGCAAGGCACGTTCGCTTACATTTCAAACGCACGCCTTTCATAACCATAACTTTGTTTTGGAACGTTAAAGCACAACAGTTATGATTAGCATTATATTACACTTCAAACGCTTCACGACTCGTATCTCATGGCCGTTGTTTGTGCGAGTACGGAGGTTTTGACTACACCAGGTTAGTGCTTGCTTAGATTATGAAACTACGTATGCAGGCTGGTTATGCATGCTTCACGACATTCATAGCAAGCCCAGCACCGTCATCCGGAGAGGTCATCACCGGCGAAGGCGACAAAGGCAGTGCTCAAATTGTAGGAGACATCAGACTTGCAGCGGTGATTATAGACCGATGGCGACATCATGACCGTAAGATGTGTTATAGAGCGAATGCAAGCTTTCCCCGCCCCTCAATCTATCTCCATATTTGAAACTTTCTCTGTCGCTACCGGTGAGTCCATACGTAGTGATTCCACATTTACGGATTTCATGGAAAGACGTAGAACAACCCTATACATTGCGATCTCACTGCGTGGACGTGCACGCTGCATATACCCACAAAAGCTGCCGCTCGCACTTCAGTACACAGCAAAGTTGAGTGAGTGCATAGTGTTACGCATAAATAAGCAGCCCAGTAAACGTCGCGTCACACGTGTGATGCAAATAACTACTGTTTCCGCTCGTCTTTTTCAAATTTATTCATTCCTTTTCTGGGCTTACCCCTTTCATGTTTCTCTAGTTAACCCAGTCCAGCGCATGTTGCAACCACGTTATACCCAGAAATTTCTAAATCTAATCTGCCCGTCCGAATTCCTGCTTCACTCTCCTGCGCCTGCCTTCTATGGGAATCCAGTTTTGTTACACATAATGGGCAGTGATTATTCCGCCTTTTCGTTAACATACTCTGCGCATGCAAATTTCTTCTTGATTTCGGCTAAGATGTCCTTAGCACACGCTTGTACCTTGACCCACTCTGCTCTCTCTCTCTCGTTCCTTAAGATCGCATCTATAATTTTTTTCATGGCTCTCTGCGTATAGCTGTATAACTGCGTAGCACTAAATTATCAATTTCACGAAGGCTTCGCATTGTACATATACTAGCACACGTGTTGATTTGGCGCGCATTTCAAGCTATGCCGGAAATCTTCCACTGCAGGTCCAGATATCTCTCGTTCGCAAGCGACAGGGACATTCGTCCTATACTTACGTTCTGGGTGCTCGTAAATTATCTGCCATAATCTGACATATTTAAAGCATCGTTTGCTGTTTGCTTATATGCGCCGAATCAGTCAGCCCCACCCCAGCATCGGGCCATCACGGGGCATCGACGCCTGAGGCCAAGGCGGAATGCTCCAAACGCAAGCGACGCCCACATCGCTCCCACCTTTCCCGTATCGGGGCGCCAGTAGTGCCGGAAGTAGAGAGAGCGAGATCGCGTAACGGCCAACAATCACACGCCGTGCATTGAGGAGAGCGGAACTTAGCGCTCGCTTGCCGGCTACTTCCGGGCGTGATTTGGGTGCAACGGGAAGAAGCACCACGGTGTACCGCTCTACGGACGCTGTACATGTAAGATGGAAGCTGGCATGCCTTCCACTCGGTCAACCTTCTCCGATATTGCTCCACAGCGAGCCTTCCCAAAAGTGACGGCGCTGTGCTTCGGCGAGCTTCTTCTGTCCGCGTTATTTCGGCGCGCTGGAAAAGTTGGTCGTGATTTGCATACTCCCTGTGCCTTCTTTTTCTCTGCTGGTACTGCAGTGCTCCATCGCTGCAAGGCATGGTCTGTGGGCCTCCGGAATGATTTAACTTCCGGTTTTCACGTGCTGTATTTGTTGCAATGTTAGGCGGCTCGAGCAAAGAATAACCATTCGGACTGGTTTCTCGGTTAGGCGGCTCGAGCAAAAAATAACCATTCGGACTGGTTTTGCGATATGGCCCAGCTCTGAGGGGCTTATACGAGTCCACACTACCCCCAAGAAGGAGTCGCAGGCTCGACTCTTGATCACTGATATCGCTAAGATCTCTATTTGCGCAAAACGTTGAGCTCGGAAAAGGAGTTCGTCAAAGTGATTTCTGTCGAATGAGTGGGGCCAGCAAAGTGTGACTGCACAATTTTGACAGTACCCTTATAATTGGTGTTTCAACAAAACTGCACACCGAAGAAAAGGCGATAATGGAGATAACGTCCTCTTTATTCTGACTCACCTTTTTTCTTCTTTTTTTACCCATCTTAATGGCGAGAGCTGTAATTTGATGAAAGTTAAATTATGTCATACTTTGCCATTTATACTAAAATTCGCTTTTCTTTTGTACAAAAGAAATAGAAATGACGAAGGCTCTCGCAAAGACAAACAAGCATGGTAAATTCAATGTTTCAAACATGAGAAACAGTGTGTGAACATTTTGTATTTGTTTTACAGGTGCAATAAAAACAGGCGGCGTGCGAGCTATACTAAATTTTGCGATAGGCTGATTTGCAATAACGCTCTGCCAAGCATTTATGGCCCCTACATTCTGAAATAACATAAGCCAACGTCACCCTATACTTCTTTCTATTCTCCTATTGTTGTAATGATAATATCTGGGAAGCTTTTGCGTCCCATGAACACGATATGATTATGATAGACGCCGTAGTGAAGATCTTCGGAAATTTAGACCATCTGGTGTTCTCTACGTGCACTGACATTGTACAGTACACGGGCCTCTATCATTTCACCGAATTTCGACTACCGCGGCCTCCTGTTAATGTTAGGCTTCATTTTTTCTGCAAAGTTTACTCTTACTTATTTTTTTTTTTTACATAGAAGTATCGGTAATGAGTATTAACGAACTCACGAACCCTAACGGCAGTCATGGACAATTCGCTCAGAGAAACGTGGATGTGGCAAAGTCCACATAATTAAGAGCGTTCCCGAAAAGCGTCCCCCACTTAACCGGGTTAGTTAAAGCTGATAGAAGATGATAATTAAATTAAAATAATTTTAATTAGTAGTAGTACTTTATTTACAGTAAGCCAAATACAGAGCTCACTGCAGGGGCAAAGGGCTAAAGGCGAACAGCCTGACAAAGGCCCTTGTCCCTCCGCAG